AGAGAGAGAGAGAGAGAGAGAGAGAGAGAGAGAGAGAGAGAGAGAGAGATCGCGACGGAATGAGAAATAAAACAGAAAGGGAACGACCGGCGGCCTACCGAGGGGCACGCAGGGGGTTGCAGATTAGATAGATCTCGTGTTTACGCGAATGAGAAGCACAGTCGATATCCCCATTGATGGGATTGGTTAATATAATAGTCGCGGACCCGCGCAACTTCTCTGGTCTCTCTCCTCTTCGCCCTCGTTTTGCTTCTTTGCGCATTGCACGCGACAACGACGACGACGACGACGACGTACGAGGCGGTGTGTGATTCATTCTGGTTTATTCCTCTGTCTCGCGGGAGTCAGCGATATTAGTCGCTCTTCTCTCCTCTCCCCGTTCTCTTTTTTCTCTCACGCGACCTCTGACCTTGAAGATCGTCTTGTCTTCTCGCCCCGACACCTGCACATTAAGCTTGCACTTGCCCCTGTTGATCCGTTCTCGTTTATTTCATTTTCTATGGCCAATAAAACACGGTGAGTCTTCATTTCCGTTCGCTTTTCCTTTCTTCCTTTTCTTGAGCACTCTCTCGGGACTGCACAATCCTTGCAGGTCCGTGTCCTGGCAACGATGGATATTTGTTGCCGGATTCGTCTTCTTATCGTCGAGAATTATTCGAGAATTCTATACTAGGGAAAAAGAGAACTGAAGACAGCAAGGCTAATTTGTCATTTCTAATTTACTATGATTATCTCTGCGGACGGATTAAGAGTTTCCCCGCTGACTCCTTCGAGTGCGCATCGTATTGTGAAGTGCTGAATCGTTTGGAGCGTTAATATATTATTTATCTCCCTGACCGTTTATTTGTATCAAATCCGCGTATCGCCGCTGGTGAGCGTTTATAAGCGAGTACGAATGCAGTCACGAATCGTACGGCTGTTTGGAAAGGTACTCGCTTTCATGGTCGTTCTTTAACCGCGTCTATCAATCTGAATGATCACTGAGACGATCGGAAAGTTACTCGACAAATGGCGAGCGAATTTGACACTCGATCCGCCCGAGACGAGGCTGCATGCCGTAATTGCTGAACACGCTCGCTATCGTGCGCGTATTATTGCGAAAGAGGTTCACGATTAACCTGGAAATACACGCGATACCATTATCAATAACGCGCTAATTCACGTTTCCGGTTGGACTGGTAAACAATCTTGCCATAGATCGCAGAAGCGTACCAGCTGACACTATTAATACCTCCGAAGAAGTTGCTGAAAAAACGTTGCATCTCTTGGATACTGAGAGAATTAAACATGTACTGAAAGAAAGAAAAAAAAGTCGATAGTCGCCTCACATCTTTCTTTCAATTTTTCTCAATTTCGCGGATCTTATTAGTTTAATGCGTTATTATTTGTGTTATCTATTTTTCTGATTGTAGGATCTTATTATTCGCAGAGCCGTTTTTCCAGAGCGAAATAAGTCGCACGTGACCATCCCATAAATTCCCGCCAAAATTCTTTCGTGCATCAGAGAGCTCCCCCGCGATGAATATCTTTCTCGTGGCGGATCCGGCACGAGGGATCGTTAATAAAGGTCTCTGCTTCGCGCGATATTCACTCGACTAACCCTTATCGTCGTCGTCGTCGTCGTCGTCGTCGTCTATGCTCATTCGAGCTGTCCGCGAAAATCGCCGACGCCGCGAGAAAATTCTGATTAATAAAGCCGAGCGTCTCCCGCTGCTCAGACGCGGATATACACTCTCTCGTTCTCGTCTTTGTGTAAGGAAGAAATAACAATGGACGATAATACGCGGCGCGACCTTCTCTCGTAATTATTCTATCGCTCGTGGGTGAGCTCGATCGTCGCGCGATTTTGTAACAACGCGATCGGAACCTCCTCGAGCGAAACGTACGTAGAAGAGAGAAAGAAAGAGAGAGAGAGAGAGAGAGAGAGAGAGAGAGAGAGAGATTTGGCAATTGCCAAAGTTTTCTTTCCGCTTATCAAGGTCAGCAAAACATCGTTGACCTCGCGTCGGAAGTTATCGCGACCGTTACCGAAGATGAACTTGATTACAATTCGTATCTCGTCGACACTACAGTCGCTGTCGACTGCGCGACACGTGTGCACTCTTCTTCATATGCCAATGTCGTTTGCATTGTCGTTCCATTGAACTTTAAAATGCACGCACACGAGGTGACATCGCAGAGTGCGTGTCCGCGATATCGAGGAGCGCGATACGCTCCAGCGAAAATAAGTCGAAAATGTCAAATTCAATGGACACAAGTTATCTTCCTCTTGGGATCTTCCACTGAACTAACTATGTGTGTGTGCGTATAGTCTCGTAAAGAAGAAAAATTACTCACATTTTCGACTCGCTATTTTTTTACGTACGTCTTATCTCACCCCTTTTCCCGAGTAGAAATTTCAGCCCTACTTTCCGACCTCCCCCTGAATTTTCTACATCTATATACTCTGCAGGATTAGTGTATATTTCATACACTGTGAGACAAAATATCTAAAAATTAGTAAATATTTATTTGTACTAACAGTATACTTTACTTAAATCTATATTCTTTTTTAACGAAGCAAATAATTGCTTTCATAAAAAGTTAAGGTTTTCTCTTGAGATTTTAAGAAAGTACATATTTTCACACAAGAAAGTACACATGGAATCTAAAGTCTTAGCGCCTCTCAATGGCACAAAATGACACAAAATTCCATTTGTAAGTATTATCTCAAGGAAGAACCCCTCGACGCGAAGTTAGTAGACTAAATAAAGTCAAAAGAAGTTGATACAGGTTTTACAGTATCTGAGTAGGCGTGGAATATTAAGGCCAAAAGTAGGATGAACATTTTTATCCGGGTTCAAAGAAGCAAAACAGTGTTGCGTACGCGAGTCGAATTATTTCCGTTAATTATCGCATAATTACGATAATTGACGCGACAATAACATATGCGATATATTTCGTATTTAAATAATACACGCGCACAATGGCTTTCGCCTACAATATTTGCAGGATTCCGTCTAATTCAAAAGCACACCATCATCATTCGAACATTCTCCTGTACGCGTGCGTCCGTGCATGCTATTATTAGTATATCGCTAATTAATATAACAAGGTACTTACCACCCTGCGTCCCCCGCATGAACATCTTCCGGATAATCGCAGTCTTATCGGTATAAGCGTCGACATCGGCGACGTTGCTGCACACACGTCGGAATTCACGGAACGAGTCATCCTTCGACGGTGCCTTGCCCTTACTTCCCTCGTCTTTGCCCTCATCCTTCCCCTTAGTCTTCTCCTTCTTCTCCTCGACCGTCGCGGTCTTCCTCGTCCTCTGATCTGAGTTCTTGGCTGTCACTTTACTCGAGGACTCGCCCGCACCTTTCCGTGGCGTTGTGGTCTTCTTTGCACCCTTGGTCGGAGCTAGAAGGGTGGAAAAGAAAAACAACCTGTTAAAGATTGCAAGTATAATATTGGTTGTTGAAAGCTTGTCAATGACAAGATATTTCCTACACTGAGAGAAGAATTTAGTAAATATTATCAAAATTTGGTTACTATTACTAAATGGTAGACGTAAATATAGCGGGCCAAAGCTATGGCAATACTTATTAATTAATTTAGTTCTGTAAAATAAATTATTTATTTGACAGAAGTAAAATTTATTTGCTTCCAGAATATATTTGGTAAATAAAACTTATTGAATAGTTGAGCAAAATAAGCGATTTTGTAATAGTTACAAATTTTTGGTAAATTCAACCAAACATCTGTAATAATAGATATTGAAACGATGTAATAACTGTAAATGAATGAATTTTTCATTGTGCTGCAACAAAACATACTTATACTAGTAACAAAATAGAATTCCTACTGAATCCTACTGAATCCTACTGAATGAAATATTTATACTAGTAACAAAATAGAATACCTACTGAATCTTTTATTATATAGGATATAACAATTTCATAACAATTATCAAATATCTGTTCATAACTGTAATATATTTCATATTAAATATTTAACATTAAGTAACTATTATTAAATTATTTAATTGATGTTACTGTGGATGCAATTACGTCATACTCCTGATCTATTAAATATTTGGTAATTATTAATTAATAATATTTTATTAATATTTATTAATAAAATTTATTAATATTTTTTTTATTAGTTAATAATATTTAGTATTAGATACTAAGGTTTCAACGAATTTCTATAACTAAATGCAGTTTGTTATAATTACCAGTCTTTTCTCTCAGTGTACATGGAAAACATAATTCTGTAACTGAATATTCTATCGTTTAGTAAAAATAAGAATCAAATATAAAAAATTCGTTGCCGAATTTTTATCTGATCCTTAGGCAGTTGTACAAACTAAGACTGTCTTTTATCGTGTGCTCGCATCTTCATGTACAAAATAAGCTTACCCGCCGTGAACGGATAAAGGATTAATGTTTGCAACGAACGATATAAACGCAATAATCTTTCGCCGATATCGATGAACTTTTCCGTCTTTAAGCGTGACAATCCCTTCTGAGTTGGACTCTTCCAAAGTTCCGGCTGTGAAGCTCGCGCGAGAGATAAAGGCTATTAGAAGTCAGGCAAGTTTCGCGCAGAAGAAGAGCAGGAAAACCTTTGAACGATCTTTCACTTCCGACTACTTAATTGTAGATCACAGGATTGTTCTCGAAATAATATCCGCGACAAAGAGCACTACTACTCCTACTGCTGCCAATATGAGGAAGTTGATTCTCGGCCCTACAAGCGCGAAGACGGCGCAAAGTTTCGCGCAGAGTATCGATCGATAATCGAGCTTGGTGCAAATAATTACATGATCTCTCAAGCTCCTCCAGCTTGTCCAGGATGATCCGTTTGTCCTCGTCGGATAATCGCTCCCAGCCCTTCACGTCCTCCTCAGGATCGTCGATTCTCTTGGTAGTGGCCCGCTGCTTGGCGAACACCTCGAAGAGGCAAGTTACGTGATGCCAGGCCGGCATTAACTTGCCATCCGAGAAGAAGCTCACCACAAGCTTGCCCATTCGCAACTCGTCCTTCTCGATCGTGCATTTGCACTTCTTGCACTTGGCGCGGCCGCTCTTGGCGCGCTCCACGACGAAGGGTTTATCCTGATCCCCTCCCGTCTCCTCGGCGTCGCTTGGCATTCTACGCTTTCACCTGCCGACTGCAATTGGACACGTGTGCAGCCTTGGTCAATCACAATGTGCGTGTTACATATATCAGATTCTGTTTCCTGCCTTCTCCTCGCGCCCGTTCTTTCAGACGTTCGCGACGTTCGCCTCGTTACGCGTAATCGAGGAATCAAGAATCCGCCAACGCAATACCCAACGCGATATCCTCGAATGCGGTAATTAAGCTGTGCATTAGTTTCGCTTACAATCGAGTTCTCTCTCTCTCTCTCTCTCTCTCTCTCTCTCTTGCTCACGGATCCGCGCAAGGCGCTGCAAAGTGGAGTAAATTGCGTTGGCTGCAGTTGCGTAAGCTATTGTAATATACATTTGCTACGCTTCTAACAAATGTTCCTTAGCAAGATAGATCTTACTGTTTATATTTTCACATACTATATATATACACAGTTTATTTTTCTCATATTATGAGATACACGGTAAAATAGAAAAGAATTGATAAGAAAATTTAATTTATAAGAATTGTTAAAAAGAAATTACAGTATTCTCTACATATATACTTTGCTATGCGTCCTATTTGGGGCAAATCTAACAAATGTTCCTTAGCAAGATAGATCTTACTGTTTATATTCACATACTATATACAGGGTGGGAAAAAAGATCGGTACCCCTAAATAATTCGGAAAATATAAGTTTTATAAAAAAATATTTCAGACAAAAGTTGTAAGGTTTAAGAAAATGCATTCAATGGTAATATTTATTTGACCTTAGGTGGCGCCTTATAAAAAAGCTTTGCAAACAAAAGTTGTTCGTTTCTTTACGTAGAATAAAATTGCATAATAAAAAATATATGTTTCTATTTAAAAAAGCAAAGTTGACCTCGACCTGACCTTGGCAGCACCACCCGAAGATCAAATAAATATTATCATTGAATGCATCTTTTTTAAACCTTACAACTTTTGTCTGAAACATTTTTTTATAAAATTTATATTTTCCGAGTTATTCAGGGGTACCGACCTTTTTTCCCCACCCTGTATATACACAGTTTATTTTTTTTCATACTATGAGATACATAGAACAGAATTAAAGTAAAAAAATTTTATTTATAAGAATTATCGAAAACAAATTATAGTATTCTCTTATACTTTGCTATGCACCCTATTCGGATACTATGCATCCCCCCCCCTTGATTTTCAAACTTGATTCGATTGTCCATTCGAAGATCCGAGTCATCTCGAGTATTTCTCGAAACTGGAAAGTTCTTAAAGATGTTTAAGAATCCCGCAAGCAGTCTCAAGGAAGAAAGTCTCAAGGATCTTGCGTGACTACGTATTAATAATGTATCATAGTGAATATTGACACGTGCAGATATAAAGAAAACATGGAATTATATTACGACAGTGGTTGACCTTTCTCGGAGATCTTTCTGAAAACATTCAAGACTATCAAAACACTCGAGATCGCTGAGAGACCTTGACGATTCTTGAGAATTTCTGCGTGTCGAATGATATTTCAAAAGGAACGAGAAGGGATACATATTCACGCATGTATGAAGAACGACGTACAAAGTTGTGATAAGCGATCAATAAGCAGAAGCCGCGACTTCGGGATTGCGACTGGCTCGCAAATCGAACGATCTCGCGGCGCACAGAAAATCTCCACCGAATCTCGATAATTCTCCCCTCCGCCGTCCGCCCCCCCCCCCCCCCCCCCCCC